GATTGGAGGAAGGATCATTGGTGGACTCAGCATCAAGATTGGAGGAAGGGTCATTAATAACCTGCAATAAGAACATTGTATAAGCTTGCTTTCTGAAAGTTAAGAAGTCTTGAAGATCTTGCTGGTGAAGATCAAAGAGGGTAATTTTCAGTATGGATTACAACTAAATGTAAAAAAAAAAATCTCATCTGGACCAATCGTCAACATCAGGATGCACGAAGAAAAGATTGAGTTTGTAAGGAGTTTCATTCCATTTGGATCCATAATAAAACTCATGAACCAATGTATGACACTGGGCAAATTAGCTGCGATAAAGCCCTGTAAAATGTAAAAGAGCAAGGCTATCACTCTGAGAAGTAAGGTGAATCTGACCCGAGCTGCCTGTGAGAGCTGGGCAATGAAAGGGAAGACGCAGAAGAATTGATGTATTTGAGTGATGGTGTTATGAAAGAAAAATTCAAAGTACTATCAGCTCCCAAAGAACAACAACAAAAAAATCTGTCTTATTAAAACTACAGCCAGAATACTCCTTAAAAGTGAGGATGTTGAGACTCAGCTTGCTGTCTTTTGGACATGTTGTGAGGAAGAACAAGTCCTTAGAAATGTACATTGTACTTGGTGAACAGCAGGTCAGGGGAAAGAAGCAGATCTCAAGAAGATGGACCGGAACTCTATGGGCCTGGCAGAAAATGGAGCCGTTTCCTTGTGTTGTGCAATCGGTACTGACTTGACAGCACCTAACAAGAACAACATGTATAATAGATGAGTTTTCTGCTATTTTCCTTCCTAATTAGAGATGAGGATAAGATATATTTTATCTTTTACTCCTTCACTAAGCCGCATCATCTGTTTTGTTTCCCATTCTCTCTTTTAATTTCATTTTCCCAGTCACAATTTTTAAATATTATAATTTTTAAAAAATTAAAAATTTTGATTGTGGGTAAAATTTGAAATGTTAAGGGAAATAAACTTTCTGTCAGTAAATATTAAAACCTCATTGCCAATACTTCAGTGCTACAATAATTAAGGGAAACACTAACATTATATGTTACTGTTTTACACAAACTTAATTTTCTACATATGAAAGTTTTTAAAGGAGGCATAACACATCTTTTTCATTTATATATTTCATAGTATCAAACAAAAGCACATGGAGCAACATAACTTACAAGACTGTTTTTAGATACAATTAGTCAATAGCTTCTTCGAAATCTAAATAATAAAATTATCTAGTTCATATGGATTAAATGCTGATAGAAATTGTGAATTACAGCCATGCATGAAAGCTCAGTGTGTGAGGAGATTGCTGCAGTTGCCTATTCTGAAAATTGTACTTGAACACTTCATTTGTATGCACAGAAGTTATAGATGGAAAAAACTCCACAATTACTAGGTCATCTAATTTGTCCTCTGAGCAAGATAACTCTATTTCCTACTCTGTTTTCCTGAGATTTGTGATCCATATGTGATCAAGCCTACTTCTTGCTATTTTCCCACGAATCTCTAAACTCATCTTTCATTCCTAAACTGTGGAAAGGCAAACGGAATGCTCTCCTTGGTTTGTGATTTAATATACTTGTACCATCTGTTAATAAACTACATGTATTCAAACAAAGGCATTTAGTATTTCACTATCACAACTAGTTAAAGTTACCATTTTCTACACTTTGGGATGATGAGAAACAGGCTAATTATTAACAGAATTTCATTTTTACTTATATTGTAATTACACCTGTCACATATTGAACAAGGTACTTTCTGATTCTTTTATATTTATAACACATTTAATCATCACAACAAACCTAAGAGATTTGTGGGTTTTATTCTCTTCTTAAGTCTTAAAATTATAAGTTTAAAAAGTTAAATAACTTGTTCAAATTACCTCCAGAAAGTGGCAAAATTGAAATTTAAAAATACTTATATGCTTTTAAGATCCTAATGAATTGATTTATTTATTGTTGCTTGGTTTTGCTCTGTCTTGTTTTTGTGCATGTTATTATCTCCTCAGGTCTGTCTAAATAAGATAGGCTGGATGAACACTCTGGAGGAGAAAACAATGGGACTGACAATTATGGGGGCACATGGGATAGGGGGAGGTGGGGGGAAAGGAAGTGGTGTTAACAAACCCAGGGACAAGGGAACAAAAA